GAGAGTGAATGAGTAAATGAGTCATGAAACCTAGAATTTTTAGTACAAATAAGAGGCTAACACATACCTTTGTTATGGAGCAATGTGAGAGGTAGAATGTAGCGGTTTCAGAGTAGAGTGTTATAAGGAAGATTTATGAAACTGTCGGTGCCGCAAAAAATCTTAGACTTTGAAAGTACACAATTTTCTGCTACTTCAGATATCTCAGATTTTTTGACACCTAGTTAAACTCAATAATTAGAAGTTGTGAACTGACAGGGATGTGATGACGACATCGCTTTGAGAATAACAGATATTCTATGATCAAGGATACACTCGAGCGGTCCTTTTCATAATTTGCAGCGATGAGGTGGTGACAATTACGAAGGTACAAATCCCTGCGCTTGAGCTGCGCAAAATGCTCCAGTCGTTTATCTATGCTATTCAGCATAAAAATGCAAACCGTGTTGTAATTGGTGCTTGAGAACAACTGTGGTACACTAGTATAATGAAGCATTTTGCATGTATCGCAAATGGCAGATCTCCTACCTGACATACTTTAATTAACCCAAAAACACTAAAACAGTCTCTGAGGTAGCATGATAATTGGTCAAATAATTTCACAGCATTATACTTCAGAAACTTTCACAAACTTCACGAGGTGGGCAGAACGAGTCTGAAGACAAGACACGACATACGTTGAATAATTCCAAAATATTATGCTTCAAATTTCAGACAATTTCACAATCTTAAATTTCACAACACAATCTTAAACGAGGCGGATGGATTATGGAATTAATTATGGATGGAGGGAGATGGACGAAATATGAAAACACAAAGGAGTAAGCGAGACGCGAGAAGCAAATACGGGAGAGTAGTGTCATCTGAATCTGAATCGCGGCTATGTACCTACAGAAAATGAACATTGATCTTATTAGGCCAGAAGAGGGCCAAAGACGCCAAAACTCATGAACCAATCAGAGAAGGGCAAAAGGATGGCAATACTCTCCAGTACCTAAGTCAAAAACACATAACCTAGATGTAGGCGAATTCTACTAAGGTCACCGAATAAGGTTATCACCGGTGGAAAAGTTTTCGGAAATCAGAACGCGAATCTTGAACTTTCGAAAGTAATTATAGGATAACTATAAACCGCAGAGCGAAGAGAGTTTTAGGACTGTTATTTATTTCTCACGCTAATTTGCATTTAATCGTATTCACAGAGCTATTATGAGGTAATCAAAAAAAAAAATTTCCTAAATGACGTTCCGTGCATCGATGAGTTGGTGCGCCATTTGACCGCTTGGGCGCCCTACTATACTAGAGCTCTAGTGGCAAATCGAAATCAAAAAGCGCCGCCTATCGGCTGAGCGCTTAAAAACATGGTAACCATGGATATATATATGGAACATACCGCGCCCCTTGAACCCTGCAAGGGATTCAACAGATTCTTTCAGGGACTTAATAAGGGAGCAAGTTTACAAATTGGTCTGGTTAAGTAACCGTTACTAGTGAAAAGTTCAGCAACTCTGGTATGTCCATCCTTGCCGTAAAATAATTTATTTACACGTCCAAAACTCCAGCTGGCCGGTAAAAAATTAGAACTAGAATTTTGAATTAACACAAGTGTACCTGGTTTTAAATCAGCTTGAGGAGACTTCCATTTGGAGCGTCGTTGCAATTCAACTAAATATTCCGATTTCCATCTAATCCAAAACTGCTTAACTCTATTTTGTAATACCCAACGATCATTTAATTTAACAGACTCAATGTTGGACTTTGAAGAGTGGAATGGAAGTGCGGTCAATTCTTGTCCGATTAAAAAATGAGCTGGAGTAAGAGGTGTTAAATCATTTGGATTATCACTCATAGCTGTTAGGGGACGAGAATTCAAACAAGCTTCTACTTTTGCAAGCAACATTTGGAATTCTTCACAAGTGAAAACAAAATTTCCTGCAGCTCTTTTCAGGTGGAATTTTAGTGATTTAATTGCAGCCTCGTATAATCCCCCAAAATGAGGAGCTCTAGGTGGAATAAAATGCCAATATATAGAGTTACTAGATAAAACATGCTGAAATTTTTCATTATTAGAAAGCGAGTACAACATATCGTGCAATTCCTTATTAGTGCGAATAAAGGTTTTGGAATTATCTGAGTAGATATCTGAGGGGAATCCTCTTCTGGAAATAAACTTTCTCAAAGCGGCAATAAAATCATTTGCAGATAAATTACTTACTAATTCACAATGAATTGTCTTCGTTGCAAAGCAAACGAATAATGAAACATATGATTTCACCCTTATTTTACTCCTACAGTATGGTTTTAAAAAAATAGGACCACAACAAATCGACTCCGCAAATTTTGAAAGGTCGTAGCTCAGTTACTCGGTGAGATGGCAATGGTGCCATAATTTGGGTTAGAAGTTTGGGGCGAGCAACTCTACAACCGAAACAATTGCGTACGGTGAAATAAGCTTCAGATCTTCCTTTTAAAGGCCAGAACCGTTGACGTATTGAAGCCAGCAAGGCTTGAGGGCCTGGATGAAATAGTCGAACAGAATGTTCGTGTCTAAAAATTAAGTTCGTCAATTTATGACTATTTGGTAATATTATAGGAAATATTTGTGCGTAAGGAATTCTTGCATTACGTAAACGACCATTGACCCTTAAAACTCCAGTTTCATCAAGGAAGGGATTTAATGCTAAAAGTTTGCTTTTTTTGTGTAAAGCACCGGAAGACAGATCTGAAATATCACGCGAAATTGCTTCCGATTGGGCAATTTTAATCAATTTATTTAAAGAACTGTCGCATTCAGCTGCTGTTAATTCTCCAATCTTTTTACATGGCTTGTTTTTAGACTTAGAATTGAAAATAAACCGTTGAACATATGCAAAAACTCTTATCAGTTTAGAAAGGGAAGAGTATTTCTCAAATAAGTCAAAGGGCTTAATTGAAATTACGTGAGAAGTACAAGAAGACTGCATTTCAGTAGACAAATCATTATCAAACCTAATGTCTTGATGACAATGTTGGAAAAATACCCGGGTTATGTAACATTTCTGGTCCATGCCACCATAAACGTGAGTTTATTAAAGTCGAAGACTGAACCCCACGAGAAATTAAATCAGCAGGATTTTGATCTGATGATACATGACACCAGTGAGCATTTTTTGTATTCAACTGAATTTCAACCACTCTATTCGCTACAAAGGTTTTCCAACGATTTGGAGGTTCACGAATCCAGTCAAGAGTAATCGTCGAATCAGTCCACAAGAAAATCGCCGAAAAAGGGCATCCGCAAGCATTTAAAACTTGAGACAATAATCGTGATAAAAGTAATGCCCCACATAGTTCTAATCTTGGTAAACTAGTAGAATGCAACGGAGCCACGCGGGATTTTGAAATTAATAATTGACAGTGAGAGGTTTCGTCTTTATCAATCGAACGAACGTAAATGCAAGCACCGTAAGCTCGGATTGACGCATCAGAAAAACCATGCAACTCTACATTAACAGCATAAGGAGAAACAACGTGTCTAGGAATTTCTAATTTTGAGATTAACAACATATCTGAACAAAAATTTGTCCATAGAGTAAAAATAGACTGAGGCACCGATTCATCCCAGAGAATCTTTAGCTTCCAAATGTCTTGCATTATCAGCTTGGCCCGTATTACTAACGGACTCTAGAAAGATAATGGGTCAAAAATCTTAGAAGTATCAGAGAGAATGCTACGTTTAGTAATTTTTGAATTTTTAGTGTGCTCAAATATCGATAAATTAGATATCAAAAAACAATCTTTAAAAGTATTATAAACAAGGCCAAGAGTTTTTACTATATCATTTGGCGCAATGAGAATGGAGGAATCATCACCTACATCTTTATTAGATTCTTTAATATATTTCAATATTTTGGGATCATTAGATGACATTTTTACTAATTTAAAACCTCCTTTCTTGAACATTTTACTCAATTGATCACATAATACAATGATAATCTGGAAATCATCATTTCCGGTTAAGAGATCATCGACATAAAAATCTGTAATTGTAATCTCCGAAGCGAGTGGAAACTCTGGATTTTCATCTAACGCAAGTTGATGTATAGATCGAATCGCTTGAAATGCAGAGGGTTTTAATCCAAAGGTAACTCGAGTCAAGCGGTAAGTCAAAATCTCCCCAGTTTGGCGGTCACGCCAAAGAATCCTCAACATATCCCGATCATTAGGATCTATTGAAACTTGTCGATACATTTTTTCAATATCTGCAATTAGTACGTATTTATGTTTTCGGAAACGTAGTAAAATTGAAATTAGATCTTCTTGGATTGTTGGACCTGACATTAGAACATCATTTAATGATACCCCTGAAGTAGTGGTAGCTGAGCCATCAAAAACTACACGCAATTTAGAAGTCAATTTTGACTCATTTATGACAGCATGATGGGGTAAATAAAATACACGTGAATTGTTTAACTCACTTTCGGGAACCAATTCTAAATGCCCCAATGACAAATATTCATTTATAACATCAGAGTATCTTACAAATAACTCTGGAGTGAGCCGCTTCTCAAGAGATAATAAACGACGTAGCGCTTGAGATCTAGACTCTCCCAAAAATGGCAGTTTATCATTAAAAGGTAACTTTAGTTCATACCTTCCGCAAGGTAGACGTTTATAGGTATTTAAAACATGTTTCTCGCATTCAACTTCTCGATAGATTTACCTTTATATTTAGGGGTATAGGCTAAACTCTCTTCTAATTCCCAAAATTTGCCTAAATTATCAAATAATTCCGAAGTAGCCAAGAGTGAATAAGCATGATTTGAACGTAATGAAAATATCCGCAGGTTTCAGATTTAAAATTGATAGGAAGGGAGAAATTTGAGAACCGATGGAAACTGCAGCTGAGTTATTCTGAGTGCATGCCGCATCTTGAAGCATTTTTGTCTTCGCAAGCGCCTGAAAATACTGATTCTGGAAAGCTTGTAGATTAGGAGCTCTGGAAGGATCAATTTTTTTTCATTCATGAATCACCCGAGATTGCCTATCCAGAAGGGGTAAGACGCTCTTATACCTGACTTCCAGTTCATTTGGAGAGATATTACCGGATGCCAAATACGCGGTAAAGGAATCCAGCTGACTTTGGATCGATTCACTGGTTACCTCCAGAGCCAATGGTCTCACATCGGCATCAGAGTCCATCGTGCAAGAAGGATAAGGAAGGAGAAGGGAAGAGAAAAGGCCAGGAACAGCTAAAATAAAATGAATACTAACATTAATATTTGAAACACCGCGTTTAAAGTCGTTGGTACTCACCATAGATGATCATATCAAAGATTGAATAGCAGCACAACCATAAAACAGAAAATCGATATTTCATCGAAAATTCTTACTCTGGAACTCAGTGGGTAGTCATACCGATACTCTGCCATATTCTGACTTACTATACTAGTAGTCAAGCTCTGGCCAGAATCACTGAAGTGAAGAAAGACATATCGAGATTCTAACAGAATCAAGCGCTCAGTCAGTGGGTAGTCATACCGATACTCTGCCATATTCTGACTTACTAAACTAGTAGTCAAGCTCTGGCCAAAGTCACTGTACTGAAGATAGCTGCGCAAACTATCAAGAATCGGTCAGATTCTGCGCCCAATCAGTGGGTAGTCATACCGATACTTTGCCATATTCTGACTTACTAAACTAGTAGTCAAGCTCTGGCCAAAGTCACTGTCGATTGATCGATAGTCAACTGAAGAATCTGGCAGATTCGATACTCATATCGAATCGTCTTGTCTAGATGGAGAAGGTACATGTTAGTAAATAAGTTCATCAATACAAAAAGGGCATACAACAACACACAAATGAAAGAGCAAATTCAATGAAGAGTAATTCAAGAAAAATTCATCAATGACATTCCATGATCCTCAAAGGGGAGTAAGGAAAACAATAATCTTCAACATTAGGTTAGTATTTTCTTCTTAACGAAAAAAAAAATGAGAACCCATCAGCTGTTATCTAAACAGATATCGAATAACTGAACCGTTGCCAATTTTAACATATAAAATTATAACTTAGAAAGCATCAGCTGTTATCTGAAAGATATCGAAGTAGCAACTGAACTGCGTTGCCAAACTTCATAATAAAATGAAAAACCTTGAAAACGTCAGATTGAAACAATTTGAAAAGATTCCTTCAAACTTTCTGAAATATTGCCAAAACCTCAAAACAAAGACCACCAGAAATCAATACTGTAAATAAATTTCCTGCGTTGTGTATATCCTGGTCACGGCACCAAAAAATGTTTGGTGTTAACCAAACCAAAAAATGTTACGCATTTTCTCACAAAAAAATAGAGGTTAGGCAAAACAAGAATAAAGGAAAGGTGATGGAAACGGACCTTAGGAAGGAAGAATTTGGAACCCCAAATTAAGCTAAAAGAAGCATTTAATGAAACAAGAAGGCACACAACTTTCTTACCTTACAATAAGGAGTAATTGTAATAAATAACAAGAATAACTGGGTTTTTACCAAAAAGAAGACAGATCATACAAACATAGATCAAGTTGTAAGACAATATAGAAAAAACATGGTAACCATGGATATATATATGGAACAGCATCTGACCCCAATGTCCTTAGTTTTTTCGGGTCGAGTGTTGCAACTATGATGATATACAATTTGATTAGTCTCGCTCTTCTATGCTACTGCAGCTAGAAGCAGCTTTTTTTCCTTATTTTATTCTGAGTTGCAACCTCACCCATCTTATTGATTTTTGATCAATTTTGATTTAGGTTCTTATCGAACACGCGAGACTAAACATTTTTCATATAAAATTTAAATGAATTTAAGTAAATGATTTTTTTACCGGCGACAACTTGAGACTTTTTTTTAAACATAATATTTATCATTACGCGAAAAGAACGTGGAAAAACACATAAAAATTATCTCGATCATTTTTTTACTTTACTGAAAATTTATATGAAGACATATTAATTTCTTCAACGCTATCACCACTCGAAAATATTTTTTCCCATAATTTACACTTAAAAATTACATAAAAAGAATGTAACGAAAACACATAAAATTTAACGTGATATCAATAAGTTTTTTCACAATAAATTCATATAAATTTTAAATGAAAATGTTTTAGCCCTCCCGCAATAGAGATTTAATTATTTGTTTTCAAATTTTTACATGATTATTTTCAATTTCTTATGAGTTGATTATTGATTTTTCATCATTTTATCTTTTTTTTATACATCTTTAATTATAATTTTTGGTTTTGCATTATGTTTTTCTTAGTCTCATTTTTAAGGAAACATAACATGTGAAACTTCACTTAAATTTTAAGTGATTAAAAAATAAAATGAAAAAATTAAGTGTAGATTAAAATTCAACACAAAAGCATCACTTTCTGTCAAAATGATTCTAGTGGAGGCTCTGAAATGGCAAAAATACGTCAATGTTGATCGCATCATGCGCGGATGGAGTAGTGGCTCTGTCTCTCGGACGATCACCAAAGTTGAGCAACGCCGAGCGTAGTTAGTACTTAGATGGGAGACCGTTTGGAAATGAGCGCTGCCTGCTCAGCCTCGTGTCAGAAATACGAGAACGGTAATTCCCAGTAGCGCTCTCTGGTCGTCAATTCGTGAGGAAAATGTGAGAAACTGAAAAAATATGTAATATTACACAAGCATATAATGCGTTTTTAATTTATGTCGTATCAGTTGATACATGGTATCAACTGATACCAAGTATCATTTCAGATCTGTTGATACTTCTAACTGCTGGGTCTGCTAACTGCTCCTCCATGGAGTCTTCATGGAGTCTCCATGGAGTTCCGTGTCTTCACCATGGGATTCCATGAGAAACAGCACGGAATACCATGGAATTCCAAGAAAATTTTTTAGCAGGGCATTTTAAAGTACTTTTGCTAAACAGCTTAATGTGCATTTACCTTCATAAATTTTAGTCTTATCCTGTCGGTATCCATGCCTCACAACTGCCAAATTAGTCAGTTATGAGCAAGGTCGGACTGGCTCGTAAAAAATTACTCGAGACTGAATTTTTAGTCCGCTATAGCGGACTAGCGGGCCTTGCTAGTCCGATCCTCGTTATGCAACTACAACTGCCCTGGTAAAAATGATCAGTTGACGGTGTATCTGTATCAGTTCGTCAACGGTGTTTTGGCGCGGAGCATCAGTAGACATCGATTGAGATCGGGTCAGTTGATGGCTTCAACTGATCTAAACTGATAAGTGGTAGCAGGGTCATTCCACACGGAGAGAAATGATTGATGAGGATAACAATGTCAAGCATGGTTGTAGGTACGGCTTATGATGCGTGTAAATAGAAAAGCTGTTATCGCAAAAAGGCTGCATTGTGAGAGACACACGGCCAAATGGCATAACTACAATGTCCAATTTGTTGAAAAAAAGAACGCTGCATCAACAGGAGAAATGCCGATCGTCACAATGTAGCATTGTTATTCTCACGCACAGTTTAAACGTCCCGCGCTATCTTCAATTCAACAATGCCAGCTCTGTTGCCGGCATTGACCAATGGTTGCCGGGCGCTATGTTTTTGCTTAAATTCACCTTCTCAGTGAGTGCAACTGCACCAATATAAAATACTTTTCCCTTCACAAAAACAAGTTTGTCCTTTTAGTATGGTAACATTGAAGTTTCCACACGCAACATGGGCTCAAATTGAATAAATCATTAATTTTTAATTTAAAAAAAGACTTTTTTTTCAAATTGAAGCAAAACTACTGTAAAATTTGCAAAGCCAAGTTGTGCGTTTCATTACTCTGAATTTTGACGCGGGGGTTTTCGCGCTATTTCTTGCGCCTAACCTGAAATAACAAAGGAAGAGAAGACTTAACTGAAGTGAGCCACATAGTTACCTACAAAGTTGATGTCTGATGTTTTCGGAACAGGTAGCATTCTAAAAGATCCGGAACCATCTTAAAACAGCGGAGTTCGTTCCGGGATCGATTTTCACGGTTTATTAAACCCTTTTGGAGTCCTCCGTTTTTGTGAATCGCAGAAGTTATCTTTTGAAGCCGATTAGCAGATAGGATAGCCCGAGGAGAGGCCCGTCGCGGTCAGATGATGGACAGGGAGAGGTGCATAATGAATTAGGGATACGGGAAGGGCGGGGGAGCGTTAGGGAGGGGGAGGGAA